TCTCAGGGCTTCACTAGGGAAATTGGTGCTTGGCTCCCTAGGTCCATCTCATTCCCAAGAGGCTGGATGGAGGGGCAGGAGAGAAGGGGAAGGGGAAGGGGCAGCCCACAAGCCTGGGAATCACGGGCAAGGGGCTGCCCTGGGGACCTGTTGTAAGGGTTTCTTCTGGCTGCTGGAGGCCCTGGCTGCTAGCCAGGTATTGATCCTGGGCTATTTTCAGCCTCTCTCCATCCCCCTTTGTTGTGTCTGTCCATCCTCCTCCTGTTACCCTGACCCATGCATTGTCACTCTCTCCTGCTGCTGCTCTCTCGCTCTCCTTCTCTCCCACCCTCCCTCTTCCTCACCATGAACTCAATATTTTCTCTAACTCACTGGTACAGCCAGGGATGCAGGATTCTCACACACCGGCCATGCCCTGGGAGATGCTCACCTGCAGGGCCACAGGAAGAGACACCCCCTCTCGTGCATACACCCACACCAACGGATACCTAAAACACATTTCAAAGAACAAAGGGCCCTTCCCTGGGAACAGGCTCCCCACAAAGTTTTTGACTACCACTACCCACCCCCCAGAACATGAGCAGCAGTTTCAGTTTCTCATCCCTGAGCCAGCAAGCCAGGGGGTTGCCAGTGCAGGAAGCAGTAGGGGCAGGGCCTCTCGGCTAAAGGAGCAGCAGCCCCCAGGCCAGAGGCCTAGTCTGGGGGTGTGCCTGTGTCAGTGTGAAGTGTGAGTGGGTGTGCAAGGCTGCACACAGGTACCTCCCCAGCATGGAGCATGTTCTGAATAGGTTTTGGCTGGAACCACTTTGGACAAACCATCAGGTCAGCTCCTTGGTGCCCCACCAATTCAGACTTCTGGGAGAGTTTCAGTGTAAGAGGTCAGATCAAAGATTCTCAGCTCCTTCTGGGTCATGGTCATCAACTGGGCCTCTGAAGCCAGAGCAACCAGGATTGAGCCCTCTAATTATGACTAGGCACACACACACCCCCCCCTCATAGCTTCTTTCTCTTTGCCCCCAGAAGCAAATGCCACACTACTGAAGAAGTCAGAGAAACTGTTGGCAGGGTTGGACCGGAGTGGGCCACCCTCTGCCCCAGGGGTCCCCAGACGAAGAGGCAGTATGCCTGTCCCCTACAAGCACCAACTGCGGCGGGCCCAGGCTGTAGATGAACTTGACTGGCCACCTCAAGCCTCATCCTCTGGCTCTTCTGACTCCTTGGGCTCAGGGGAGGCAGCCCCCACCCAAAAGGATGGCATCTTCAAGGTCATGCTTGTGGGGGAGAGTGGCGTGGGCAAGAGTACCCTAGCAGGCACTTTCGGCGGTCTCCAGGGAGACAGTGCTCATGAGCCGGAGAACCCAGGTATTTGGGGGAGCCCTGCAGGGGTTGAGGGTGCCCTTAGAGCCCTAGTCATGGATGGAAGAGCTCAAGGCATGAGCAGCCCTTGGGGGCCAGAACCTAAGAGGTTTCCCCAATACTTTCTGTGGCAACCTCCCTGGAGGAGGGTCCCTGGTTCTGGGATCTGAGGCATCCCTGGTTACCAGGTCTCACAAGTGTTGGGAGCCTCCTAATGGGCTCTATTCCCTGTCCTTATTTCCCAACAGAGGACACCTATGAGAGACGCATCATGGTGGATAAGGAGGAAGTAACTTTAGTTGTTTATGACATCTGGGAACAGGTGAGAACTAAGATGTGGCTGCAAGCAGGTGATGAACTTTGGGAGAACTGGGAAGGGCAAAGTCTGGCTCAAGGATGGTGGGACTGCAGGTGCTGGTTTCAACATGTATTATCATCTCAGAGCAAAGGTGCACACCAGTGTGCATATCATGGCATTGAGAGCCACTGTCCTTCCAGGATCTTCTAAATAGAGAGGAAAGTTAGAATTTGAATTTGGCAAACCCTGCAGCTGCAAGCCAGGTTAAACATCCTGAAATTGACCCTATCCATACATTTTTTCAGCCTGGAAGAGAGTCTGACCAGACAGGACAAGAGCTCAGGGCTCTGCAATATCAGGGAAAGGAAAAAAAAAAAAAAGTGAGGACTTGTGAACATTTGGACATAAATGGTTACAATATAGAAATGGGAGACCAGATTACATACACTTGACTAGCAGTCATTTCTTAAGCTTTCTTGAACTTATTTATCAGAAAGTAGGATGGGCTACCCTAGTCTAGGATCCTATGTCTCCAATTCCCCAGTGTGGGGCTCACATTACTAATTTGTCCCTCCCCCACAAATATACCCTGGGTATGGAGATTCTGCCATTAACTAGCTCTGCTGTTCTAAGTAGGTGGCTTCTCCTTCACATCCTGATTCCTCATCCTTGAGATGTAGGTGCTGGACAAGTTTTCCCATGCCTCCAGCCCTGACGTTTCATGACTCTCTCTGCCCATCTGCAGGGGGATGCAGGGGGGTGGCTGCGGGACCACTGCCTTCAGATCGGGGACGCCTTTCTCATCGTCTTCTCAGTCACTGACCGAAGAAGCTTCTCCAAAGTTCCAGAGACCCTACTTCGACTTCGGGCTGGGAGGCCCCACCACGACCTGCCTGTCATCCTCGTAGGAAACAAGAGTGACCTGGCCCGTTCCCGGGAGGTCTCATTGGAGGGTGGGTATCCTGAACATATCCATACTTGCAATCTTAAGGGATCTTCTCCCTTCCATGTCAAGTCACTTCTTTTCCATAAGGCCTTTTCACCGTCAGGTGCACAAACTTAACTGCATTTAGCCCCAGGCTAAGGGCTGTCCCTCAATGCCCATGACTAGGGCCCTGAGAATCCCTTCTCTTCACTCTCCCTCTCCAACGCCCCTTTCTCCCTCCCTACGACTCCTACTTTGCCCCAATCCCCTTCCACTGCACACCCTGCCCCAGGCCCAGTGCTGCCCCGCAGGCGCCTGAACCGGTCCCTTCCCGCAGAGGGCCGCCACCTGGCAGGAACACTGAGTTGCAAGCACATCGAGACGTCGGCCGCGCTGCATCACAACACGCAGGAGCTCTTCGAGGGCGCGGTACGCCAGATTCGACTGCGGCGGG